ATGCCTATCAAAACGCCTGCCATTTGAAATAAATAAATAATGTTGTTCCATCCACTATTGTCTGTATTCGATTTTCACAGTTCTGACTTCACTCCACTAAGCCTCTGAGGGTCATTAATTTTTTTCCAATAGGCCGTCTACCCCTACTCTTGTGTTACTTAGTGCATATCGATTTTTATTGATTCTCTTCCATAAAACCTGGATCAAATGATAACACAGGTAAGATATTTTTATTTCTATTTTATTTAAGTTAGTATTCTGAGCTGTTTCCCAACGACTGCTCGCAACAGTGCTATCTGACCTCGAAGGGAAAGGGGAATTCACGGTTACTTATTTATCCTCCCACTGATTATTCGTCTTCTAGAGAGACTCACGAAGACAAATAGTATGGCGGAAAGAGGAGTTTCATGAATACTAGGTTTATACTGCCTCTCTTTCCACTCGTAAGTAAATAGAGGACTCTTTAGAGATTGTAACAAGATATGCAAAGCACTTTTAGATCTCTCTTATAAAAATTTAGAGAAGAATTTCAAGCTCACATTGAAGACCAAGGAGTGGCGTTACCTAACTCGCAGACATTGATCTAACAGACGCTTTCAACAAGGAACATGTGCCTATTAGAGAATTACACTAAGGTAAAGTCTATATTAGAAGTACCATAGAAAAAACCGATATTTAATCACATTTTTTTCCAAAATAAACTAATACTGCTGTACTTACGTTAACCTTGTTGTCAAATCCTTTTGCAAATTTTTCGACAGAAGCTGGAAGTGCTTTACTTCCCTCTTCGACGAAGTTCTTGATTTCATCCATAGCTATTTGAATTCTTTCAAAGGGATCAATACTCAGCACTTTTCCGTCTAAGGTATGTTCTGAGGCGTCGAAGGCAATGTTAAGAGTACCAAAGTAAAGTACAAGAAGGATTGTTGTTGCCAGAGCCGTTGAAAGGGCAAATATCACGATGATTGTATACTTGATTCGTTCCACCCTCTGGTGCCGAGCAAACCTCTCTTCTGACGTATTGGCCTAAAGTTGGGTGAAGATAGAGGTGAAGTTGGAAGGCAATAGATCATATTTATGGCCAGTCCTAATGGAAATGATGATTTTCATTCGAAGTTCATCACCTGTCTAAATCAACACCGATTCGGAAGTCAAAAATACAAATTAGAGCTGATTTAAATGTGATTTTTAATTGATATAGGGGTTTGTGGTAACTTAGATCATATCTGCGTTTATGGACTCCTACCAAAGAACTCACGAATAATCTTTGGCGTAAATCGAAGTTTATACTCAATAATACTTCCTCCAGTTATCAATTTATTCCAAGATGGTTTAAAATTAAGATAGTTGATTGATGCATTACTTTGATTTTGTCATTATCTTCAATAGCAATATCAATGATAAGCGGAAAGTAAATCAAATTTCATGTGGTTCATGAATGCATTAAAATCTGCCAAATAATCACAATGGAATAAGGAAGAAACGAGCGCCTTGATGTTCAACTATATTCACTGGAACTCACTAGTTCTCCTTTCTTCCAATTAATACCATTGATCCTTTCAGAGAGACTCGTTTCACACATTGCCACAATTATCTTTTAGTGAAAGTAATGAAAGGTCTAGATGCACAAGAAGCCATTCCATATTAAATTCTAACCCACTTGTTTTCTTTTTGAAGGACCATTTCCACAACAGCAGGCAGCACTAAGAACTAGTAGCGTAAGTAGGAGGGAAGCTCCAATCATAGTCCAGAAGATCATTGGTTCTCGATTAGGATTGGCGATAGCATCGTCGACGGCTTTCTGACCCCCTCCAAATTGTTCCGGTAGGGCTCTTAGCACCGAAAAGTTCAGAGGTCTCAGAAGGAGAAGATTGATGAAATAATTGTAGTCCACTTCCGAAACGAAACTGAATGTGCTGTTTCCTGATTTACTAATTTCATCAGGTTTGAATAGTATATTCAATACACCACCATTGTGCGTTTGGATTACCCATGTCATCAGGCAAGCCGCCACTGTCACTAAGAGCCCCTCCAAAGCCATAATTGTCACAGCAAATCGTTAGGTGTTAGCCAATACTCCATTCTATATAGTTAAGAGACAAACTTAAAAAACACGCTATTGGCTGAATATTTGCTGCTTGAGAAGTAATTGGCCTATCATGGCACTATATGATTTTAAAGAGAAACTATTTTATTGCTCTAATTACTATTGGTCGACTATTAAAATTCCTTCGTACAGTCAAGTAATTTGCAAAAATAAACGTACTATTTCTAACGTTTTATGTTTTTTTTAAAATAAGGAAAAAATTTTATCATTGATTATAAATCTTACCATTAAAAACGTAAACCAGGAAATAACAATTTTGCTGTGTCCGTGTCTCAATAATTGGAACCCGAGTGCAAGGACAAGCGAGATCGATAACCAAATTACATCGATACAGAACAAAGGAAGCCAGTTGACATTAAGGAATTGGATGAGGGTGCGTCTATCTAACTATGCTCCACATGTGCCATGCTATTTGACTACTCAAACAGCGTTTGGCTTTTCTAAACATATTGATGAGAGACAATATTCTCCTTTGAACCATTCAAGAATGCTCACATGTCAGATTGTAATTGGAGGTCTAACTGCTTACACCATTTGAAAACCTCCCAACATCTCCCATTGATATTGCTCATTGAAGTGTCACCACTGATGTACATGTGGTAAAAATCTTGTGAGTTATATCTCTAGTCCTATCACCGACACAACCAAACCAACCACAGCTGATCATAACTAATTGGGGAGTTTATTCCAAAGGAGAGCATTGGAATAAACAAAGGAATTAATGTTCCATTAATATGACATATTGAACAAGACAGGAGGTTAAAATCACGGGGCAAAAATAAAGCATCTTTGTTTAATCTCTTTCTGAATCATTTGACTCCACTTGTCCACCCATTTATCATTTCATAACTAGTTTCCTCAATTAAGTTTTCATGATTCAGAATTGGCGCAAATTGAAATACTCAAATGTGACATTAGGTTTCATTCCTTTTCATGACACCAACCTCGTGTTTGTCGGAAATGCACTGTAGGTTTCTTATATTTGGAATCAATAATTTAGAATTTGATATTATATTAAATATGTGAAGCTTACGGTGCTATAAAGGCAGAACAAAAAATCTCATTTACAGTCGAAGAGCCACAAAGGCGCGGCCGTTTTGCCAATTGGGTGGGGAGCAAGTGTGGGCAAATTTTTGAAAACATCTCCTCTTTCTCACACTTTAATAGTCCAAATGCAAATTCTTTAGAAGGGAGAGAGAGAGAGATTTTCCTCTCCCACCATCAGGTTTCATTGCCAACTCCAGACTGTGAGGGCAGGCAAAGGTCAGACAGTCAGTAGAAGATGTCAATAATTTAGGTCAATTTCAGAAGTACTCAGTGGAGAGGGGGTGGAGGTGGAGGTGAGAGTTGGGTGTGAGGAAAAAGTAAACCAATAAGTAAAGGCATAAGCAAACGGCAAATTGAAAGTTCATTTCTACACATTTCCGCTCATCACTCCAGTTTTCCGAACGCATGAAG